ACCACAGGTGACTGACTATCCCTGAAATCGCCACCACAGTGTCTAGTCAGCTGTCCCTTCCAGAAATGTTTCCTATAGGAAAAACCCAGAAATTACAAAGTGTTTTTATCTGAACCAGAATAAACAGACAAAACAAAGAATAATCATGTCTCCTTCCAAATGAAAAGGAGTGTTTGTCTGAACAGCTTTAAATGAAATACCCACATGCCATTGTTTCAGCCACTGTAAAGGGAATGACTGTGACCTCGCTTATTGTCCTCTGTCACAGCGAAATCTTCCTCTGTGGCAGTTGCCTACACAGTCTCCAAGTCACCACCTTTTCCAGGTTGCCTGGAATCCTTCCCTCTTGCTGCCTGAGCCCCTGAAATGAGTGGACTCGGTGTTAGCCCCTTGGAGTGCTGCTCTGTTCTTTAAATTTTAATAACAAACAGAGACACCTCCTGTCTCTTTATATTCCACAGACCCTCCCTCTTTTCTGCAAACTGAAGGCTGTTGCTGAAAGGATTGAAAACCTGGAAAGAGTTTGGGGTGGACTGGCCAACCCCCTTTCATGTCCTTCAGATGTTTACAATCTAGCACCTTTCTGAAGACAAAGATGGAGGGGGGCTATTTTTTCCTTTGACTGAAGGGTGAGACAGGGGGGTATTAAAAACTGATCAATGTAATTTTTTTCTCAGAAGTATTTGCACATCTGTGAAATAATGTAATTTCTTTACAAAAAAAAAACTTTTTATATGACATTCATGATTATAGCCTGATCTGGAGAATTACTCAAATATAAAATTAAATGTTCAGAAACTGGCTGTGCTGTGGATGGCTGGGCTTGCCCCAGCTGTGTGTCAAACTTACGCGATTCTATTAAAAGTCTAAAACTCAGACTTGCTAGATTGCAGTGAATCCCCAAAAAGAGGAAATGGTGTTTTAGAAGGAAATGTGAGGGCCTACTTCTTTTTGGTTTCGTTTTCTTTGAATGTGCCTCCAGGGGCCTGAAGAGACTCCAGCTAACTGTTCAAAACCAACAACAACAACAACAATGGACAGAGGAGGGCCCAGCAGGATGACAGCGGCTGATAAAGCAGGGAGCCCTGTGTGTTCTCACAGGGTTCAGAACAATCTGTGACTCGGAGAAAGTTCCGAACCTTCAAAGTTAATTCTTTTGTTCCAGTGAAATTGCTTCAGTTTTAACGTGAGCCATCTGTCATTTCTCCTTGGCTGCTGTATTCCACACGGCTTTCATTCAGCTCTCACTCTAGACCCCCTTTCCCCCAACCCTTGGACGCAAACTGCTCCTTGGACTGATAGGAATCCACCTCCTTAGGCACAGTCTTTAAGAAGCCAACTCTCCCTGACCCCAGAGTACTGGACAGTTTTTCTTCTGTGTACATGATCCTGCAAGGTCCCCTCGGAATCCATCTGCCTCTTAGATGCGGTTTTCCTCACGTCCAACCTCATCCCGTGTCTTGCACCACCAACTCGAGGTAATGTATCAATGATATAGAATACAATGGAGACCCCAGAAAATAAAAGACGTTTACATCCCTTTGAAGTTATAAACCTAGCCCTAAAGTCCAAAGTCTGCTACTCACCACATCTGGTTCTTTTAATAAAATGAATTTTTAAAATATTTACTGGTTTAAAAATAAGCCAGAACCTTTTATGGGTTAATACTATTCAATTTTAAGTGGAAAGAAAAACACAATTCTCAATAATTTTATGGCAGGAATTAATAGCCAGATGATCTCAGGATGGAGAAAAAGGGGGTAAGAAAGGGATATGTGGTTACTGTTCTGAAAACCAGGCAACGACTGAAAGCAGGGGATATTGTTTATGCTGCTGAAGACAGACAGACTTTAATAACACTTAACAGAACGATACACATAATGATCTCAGAAAGCACTTCTCCAGCCTCATCCATCATGCCGAGGAGAAAATGAAGCCTTCGACAGCATTAGGAATTATTCTGGATCTTGTCAGTAATTCTCAGCGTCTCTCCACTATCACAACACAATATGCGTGTGTGAGAGACACTGACCATTAATCTACACAAGGTTCCAGGTGTGTGTGTGTGTGTGTGTGTGTGAGAGAGAGAGAGAGAGAGAGAGAGAGAGAGAGAGAGAGAGAGAGAGAGAGAGAGAAAGAGAGAGAGAGAGAGAGGGAGAGAGAGGAAGAGACTGACAACAGCATGCAGAGAATGTATTACCCCTTCCATGGAGGAACGGCACCCATGAAACCATGCTAAATAAGCCAAGGGAAACTAGAAAACTACATGGGTAGAGAAACAGGACCTTAAGAAATCAAAATGTTTTCTATCAAAATTGAAAGAGAACAAGGCAATGAATGTGCCCAGTGCAGTGCTCTAGCTAGGCCACTCACCAACTGTAAATGTCATAGCCAGGGAGCCAGCCCCTCCCTGATGAAAAGTTTCTATGAAGTTGCAACACACTGTCAGCATCCCTCCGTAATAAGACCTTATGTGATGAGAAAATGATGGGTTTCCCTTTGCTGCTACAAAGACATGCAAAAAGGTCTACTTTCTGTCCTTCAGCCGAGCATCAGACTGAGCCCCTGGGCTGCTTGCTTCACTGGGCTGTTGGTTCGTTCACTGTAAAGTTCTCATTGATTCAGACAGGGTGGGGGAGAGGGGCAGGAGAATCGCAGAATTATTAAATAACCAGTTTATTCACAGATACATCTGGCTTTGACAGCGTATCACTGGTAAAACCAATTTGAATTCCCAGTTCTCCTGAGAAAACAAGCAACAGCTTGAGCAGCAGCCTCCTCAAAGTGAACTCTGCTCTCCCGTGGCCTGGAGGCCACCCTAAAAGAGACTCCCTTCCCAAAGAAAAAGCTTATAAATATCTGCAAGACAAATTCTCCCAACGTTCATCGGAGTCCACTCCCAGTTGATCTCTCTACATGCTCAGGAAAAGGCGAAAGTGTGGGGCTGGCCGGGTTATGATAAATTAGAATGATTTAACTTCCAGAATCATCAGCTCCACACAGATACGCTCCTGTGGAAACTCTGGGAGCTAGTCAACAGTAACACCCGAAAGCAAAGCGTGCTCTTGTCCGATGAGTGTATTGCTGAAAAGGGGGTGAGCTAGAGGGGGTGCAGTGGAGGAGGGCCAAAAGGAAGCCAAAAGAAGGGGGGGGGAGGGGAGAAATGCAATAATAAAAATACACAAGTGAGGAAATGCCATTATCAGCTACTAGGAAGTTCAAGGTCATCTGAAGTATCAGCCAGGACCTTTCTTTTTGATAGAGTAAGCTGAAATACAATGAACAGTTCAAAAGCAGGATGAAAGCCCTTGGAAACTGGCCTTTACTGATAAACAGTTATGCCTCATTTTCAACAATCAAAATTTGAAAGATTGTTTAAAAAAAAAAAAAAGAACTTTCCTGCCTCTTGAGTAGCCAATTCAAGAGCAAAGACATATGTTAAGCATTCAGTTTAGGCTGAGATGTGTGGCCCAGCACCCCTTATCCCCAGTTGGAAAAAGAGATTATTATTCACGAGGGACAAATGCACTGCAGGATTAAACCCAGCTCCCAGGAAGTGGATGCAGCCTGGGCCTGGTCCCTCCCCTCCATCTCCACTCCACCCCAGCCCACCTTCCCTGCCTCCCCTCACCCTGCCTCCCCCCCCCCCCCCCCCCCCCCCCCCCCCCCCCCCCCCGCCATCCCCAGTGCAAGCTATAAAGCAGAAATGTCACTCGGAGCTTCATCGAGGCCTGGCAATGGACAGATATTTATACTGAATAATGCTCACGTCAGAAATGAGTAAAACCAGGTTTAAAATTGAGGTTTTCACAAAATAATGAAGAGGAAATGTCACGCTGGCAGCGGTAACGGCATAAATTGTGCTTATTTATTCATTATCCTTTCTTTCCTCCCCTTCCTCCGTGGAAACGTGATTTTTATTTTTCACGATCTACTTGCATGAAACGGAATGGAGCTTTCACTCTGGTTGTTGCTTTCTCGGAGCCCAAGACCAGAGACAAAGATGATCTTTAAAGATTTAAAAACACAGCCGTAATAAAGAATGCAGCCAGAACACATTTCCTTCTAGATTTCAGTTCAAAGAGACAAGGTAAATATGATTCGCCCAAACAAAATTACCTGCAGCTTTAACTTTTACCTTATCTAATTGAACTACAGAGAAAATATCAGGGAAAAATGTCACTTGCCCAACAGTAAATACACTGCTGGGAGCAGAGGCTGGGGTGGTGGGGGGGGGGGGGGCGACGTGGAATGCAGACCATGAACAAAACAAGGAGAGAGAAGACACTTCTGCTCGAGGTTCCTATGGGCAGCTTTCCCGGGAGATACTGGGGGCCAGTTCCCACTAGTAATGACTAAGACAAAACAGGGTGGGGTTTACCTCGGTAGTCTAATCAAAGGGCATGCAGCTGTCAGGCTCAGAAAGAAGGCCCCCAAAGACCCCTGTTTCTCTCACACACTCTCCATCACCTCCACACCCCAAAACAAAACTCCAGCAAACTCTGGCATCTGGCAGCAAGCCTGTAAACCCAGCGCTGAGATAAGGACCGATCTGCTCATCACACACCTCCAGGCTCGGCCATCTAATAGGAACAAATTGGCAATGACTGCCCAAGCTAGTAACACAGGCCTACTGATTTGTAGATTGATACGGACGCCTAATGATCCCCTTGGGCAGATCAATAGTAACAATCCTCATGGCTGCCTTTCTTCTTTATTGGCATAGGAGACTAAGGCAGGGTGAAAGCAGGATGCTGTGGAGGCCACGGCCTACTTGGGGAAAGAAAGGAGAATAAGGATACAGGTGTTGAAGCCGTAGGGCCAGGACTCAGAACTTGCACTGCCCTGCTCCATCGTACATTATTTGGCAGGTAAAGGGTATAAGAATGGGAGTCGATGAACTTTGCTGCTAATAGTGTCTGGGTGTGGCATCCACTGGGACCTGGTTTATAGTTATCATAACTGGGTAAGAGAAGAGAGATGTCAGAAACCCAGCTCACCTCCAAAAGATGGACTTGGGGGACAGGAAACACAGCTCTGACGGCAGCAACTGAGAGAAGGGAGACCCAGGATGCTTGCGTCTTAGGAGAACTGCGGTTGGGATGAATCTGAAGTAGCTATGATCAACAAGGACCAGTAACGCCGGGCTTTACTTTAAACACGACAGAAAGAAGGCAAACGCATCCTCCGCTGTGTTGTCTGAACATTTTTAAGACACCCATCTGCCTCCCGCAGGCCGGAAGGTCAGATGGCTCTCACATCCGTGCTGTTCCCCGCACCCTCTGCCCTTCTTAGCATAGCACCTGAGCGGGTCTCCGTGAACTTGACCCTGCTGCTTCGCACTGATGATTCTCCTTCCTTCTGCCTGCCGACTCCACCCCCACCCCGGAGTCCGGGCTTGTTTTCCATCTGTGTATTATTCTTTGTGAATAAAATTATCCAATTAGGAAATCCATTTAAAGCCCTTAACAATAACAAGGGAGGGGGAAAAAAAAAACTAATGGAGTTGCTTTGGATTTTCTTTTTCAATAAATTAATGGTAGTGACGTCTGTGAATTCCTGAGTGCTCGTGTATACCACCGAGGCTACTGCAGCAAGGACAATTAGTTCCAAGTTGCTACACCGGTTTCCTATACCTTAGGAAGTCCAAGGTGCAGGACACCAGAAGGAGCCAAAGGAAACTTAGAGGCTCACGGGATGAATGTGATTGAAATAAAGCTCCAACTCTGAAAATCTTTGGAGTATGTATTTATATTCTTGTTTTGTTTTCTTTTTAATCATACACACATTTTTTAAAAGGAAGGGAAAAGACTCTCTCCTTTCCCCCCTGTGCACGTTTTCAGGTGCTGCAAACAAACCAGGCTGCAGGAGGAGGGGGGGGGGACGACGTCCCAGTTGTGCTGCTTTTTCGGACCTGCAACCCAGCCGCCCGGCGATCTGCTTTGTTCGCAATCAGCCTCGTTTGGTTTTGTTATTAAAGGGAGATAACACTGAATGCCAGAGATGAAATTGTGTTTCCTCTATTGTCGATGGTGAAAACCTTTGCCACCCTACCAATATAGTGAAAGATTCTCTCTCTCTCTCTCTCTCTCTCTCTCTCTCTCTCTCTCTCTCTCTCTCTCTCTCTCTCTCTCTCTCTCTGCCTTCTCCTAATAAAAATGTTTTTAATCTCCTTTCCCCTCCTTTTTTTTTTTGCATACTCAAAACCAGAACTGCAGTCACATAAAAGGCCCTGTGCTCCAGCCTTCTGTGTAATATTACAAATTAGTCATCTTCTCTTTCCTGGAGGTTGCACCGTCCTTTTTAAATAAAAGCGAACGCCAGAGCGGTGTTAGATTTTGACAGTGAAGGGTTTGCACTGATGGACCAAATAATCACGTGCACTGGGTGGGGGGGGGGGGGGGGGGGGCTCTGGCACTGACCACTTAAAATTCAAATTTCACACTAACGCTAAGTGTAATCAGCTCAATCAGCACCATCACCATCATCATCATCACAATAAAAAAAGATGCGTTCCGAGAGCCGGTGACATCAATCAACCACGGTGCAGATCAGAAGCGGTGCTCCCCTCTTGCTGGCTCACTCTGGCTGTCTGACACTAGTTCCCCCCCCTCCCACCTCGCTGCTGCCCCCCCCCCCCACCTCACCCCCAGCTTGGGAGAAGTGATCACATTTAATTCATTACATCATTATGTCATCCCCATCCTAATCTCTGCCCTCACACCTCCGCCACTTTGACATGCAAATGAGCTAGGGAAAAAAAGCCACACATTAATATAAAAAAGTCACAGCAATCTTGTCATGATTTCCTCCCTCCCAGCCCCACAACACACTCCCTCCAATCTCCACCTCCCCCCCCCCCCCATCTCTCTTTCCAGCACGCTGTGCTGGCGATCAGAGGAAACAACAGCAATCTGTTGAAGATCAGACGCGGAGACAGGGAGGTGGGGGGGAGATACAACACATACACGTGTCGGCAACGCAAGCGGCCAGGAGTCCCATTTGCATATTCACATGAGTTCCATTCTCAGATTGCTTAAGCAGGGAAGAAGTTAGGTGGCTCCCCCCCACCCCCAGCCACCCTCCCAGATCCAAAGAGAGACAGCTACTGGGGGAGAGCACATGAACGCAGGGAAAGGGGGGTGAATATGAAGAGGGAGGGAGAAGGCAGAGAGGGAGACACACCAGCAAGAGACAGAGAGAGAGGGAAGAAAAGAAAAAAAAGAAAAGAAAGACTTTCACATCTACCTTACCTCAGCTAGCCTGCTTTCTGTGGCTCTCAAAAGGAATCCCCTGTGGTTCCTTTACAATTTTTGAGACCCATCCTTCAGGGTCTCTCTCCTTCCTCTCTCTCTCTCTCTCTCTCTCTCTCTCTCTCTCTCTCTCTCTCTCTCTCTCTCTTCCTCCTCCTCCTCTCTCTGTGTTGTGACTGGGTTTTAAAAAAAAAATAAAAAAAGACAACTCCATGTTGAGCTCCAGTCAAGGAGGCATCTTGAAGTCCAGGGCTTACTGGGGGCGGGAAGAGAGGAGGAGGGTCATAGCTAATGCCTTACAAAGGAGAACCTGGGCTCTGCTTCAAAACATCCCCCTCACACAGTGACTGACAAAGGCAAAAATATAGGGACTCCATGTATACATGGAGACATCTGTACGTTTCCACCAGTCTCCCAGATGCCAGGAATATTCAGATTGTGGGGTGAACATATGTAAAACAATTAGGAGTCCCTTCAGGAAACCCCATGGCAGACCCACTTGGCTTGCTGATTGCAGAGGGAGCCAGGCAGCCAGGGGCTTTATTTGCTGAATCACATTTGTGGTAATACCTGGGTAATAATAAAAGACGGGCTGGAGATGGGGGTTTCAGCTGCCGCCGTGGATTTACCAGCTTTGATCACTTTTCAGCAGTACTTTCCTAGTAATGAAAACGTGTGAACATGTCCGCAGATTTCTCTGAGTTTTTTTTTTCTCTCCCTCTTGAAATAACTAAAAAGAAAAGAGAGGAAAAGGAGGGAGAGATGGGAGAGAGATTATAATGTAATATATATCTACAAACTAATAATAAAAGCCATCTCTATATATTCTTTATGAAGAGCAAGATTGGTATGAACTGAAAACACGGAAGGACCGATGCAGACACATCTGATTTCCTAGTGGCCTACTGTATAACATTACCCTAATTGACTTTATTAGCTCTGGTGAGATGCCGCCAGCCCTCCAAGGAACCTGCCTTGGAGGACAGCGACACACAGCACTGAGGAGCGGCAGCTGATACCAAGAAATTAAGTACTGTTCTATTAAAGTGAAAGGAATAAAAAACATTTTCGAAACACAATGAACGGTGGAGAGTTGAGATCTATCTATCAACCAGTTTATTTCAACCAGGAAAAAAAAAAGATATCCTATGTCCGAGGAACCTTTAACAGGAATCTGATTCTGAAAATTGGCCAGGGGGGTTGTGTTTGCAAATTATTTTGCAGCATCAATCATAAACTTAAATGCTATGAACAGTGTTAAGCTGAAGCGGGAGGCAAATACTCTTTTGGTGAACGTGTAAGTCCTGTACAACATATGCAAGTGGACATTCACCGACCAATGTGGGCATTGTAGAGAGCAGGATAAGTTTAGAGTAATGTCAATATAGAGATTACAGTGTGTGTGTGTGTGTGTGTGTGTGTGTGTGTGTGTGTGTGTGTGTGTACACCAGACAGGAGGACCCAAAGGCAGGTCATTATCTAAATGAACACACATGTACATACAGGAAATTAGCATTATGTATCTACAACTGATGTGAGGGAGGAAGGGAGAGAGGGAGGGAGGGGAGAAGGGAGGGATGGGAGGAAGGAAGGATGTTAAAAAGATGTTACCCTTTATAGTAATAAAGAACTTGGGAGTCAGTGACTGGGTGTGGTGACAAAAAATGCTAAAATATGAATTGTTTCTTTATCTGCAACAGAACTCTTGGTAGACACACATGAGAAAGAAATGAATTTATCTGTCTCTCAGAGAAACCAGGAAAAGAGACTTTTTTTTTTAATGATCCTGGTCTGAATTTGAAGAGGGAAGAAGGTAATGTTACAGCTCTGACCCCAGTACTTGGGTTACAGCTCTGCTCCAAACTGATGAAAAATATCTATGACAAGACTCATCACCAAGTCTCTGAAATAAAAAGAAAGAGAAAATAGCCCCCACATTAGACCCAGGAACGTTATATTTCAATATTATCATATGAATTAAATGTAATCCTTGAAGCGACCAGTCCCTGGGGTCACATATTAGGCGTCCCCTCACAGCCCCCACCTCCCCCTTTTTTTTTATTTAATAGAGGTCACCCAGGCTGAAAAGCAAAACCCAAATGAAAAGCATCTTCGGTGTGCTTATAACACGAGCGGCAAGGGGTCACACAGCGTCTTGTACGGCCTCATAAAAAATACATAACCAGACAGCCTAATAGTATTTCTTTGCATTCATTTTTGGATGGAGAATGGGAGCTGGGGGCTGGGGCTGGGGAGGAGAAGGGGTGAGGTGTCGAGCTATGATGGAAAAAATCAAAGACAGCACAGAAGTGCGTGTGTAAAAGGGGGTGGTTAGCTAACCCTTTTCTTCTGTGAAAAGCTGAGAAGCGTGGGTCGTGGTGTGATTGATTTACACTATCCTATGGATTTATAATGTTCTAAAATGGGACTGATCTTGATTTTTGAAGACAGTAAAAGGTGTAGGCATGTGTATCTATATTCCTTCTTATTTCCTTTGGCTGGTCCTGTTAATTGGAAGCTGAACTACTACGCTGGATTCTGTTCCCAGTTTTCTCTCTCTCTCTCTCTCTCTCTCCTCTCTCTCTCTCTCTCTCTCTGTGTGTGTGTGTGTGTGTGTGTGTGTGTGTGTGTGTGTGTGTTTCACCAGTGTAAATATTCATTTAGCTATATATTTATAAACGCTTATTCAGGGGTGAATTCTACAAATGAAACAAATAATGAGAAGTGGAGCATGGCCAGGATTTCTGTTTTAGCGACACAATGTAAAGACGGATAAACTACCAGGGGAGAAGAATGGGCAGTTATGGGGAAGGGAAGAGCAGGGCTGGACTCAGAACAAGAATAGCACATTGGAGAAGTGAAAAAAAAATAGCCGTAAACGCTAGGAAGATGAGAGGTCCCTGAGATATATTCCTTCCCCTCCCCCTCACTTCTTTCTTCCCAAATATAGTCCAGACAGAGTGGTCCTGCTGGGGGGAGATGGAGGCAGAGAGGCGACCCTGCACTGACCAGTCTGTTAGAACTAATAAGCTGTCCTCCTAAGCCA